TGCTATGCTAGGCAATGCTATGCCATGCTATGCTGCGCTATGCTCCATGCTCTGCTATTCTGCGCTGTGCTATGCTGTGCTATGCTATGCTGTGATATGCTATGTTATTCCATGCAATGTCATGCTGCGCTGTGCTATGCTATGCTATGCTATGCTATGCTGTGCTATGCAATGATATGCTATGCAAAACTATGAAATGATATGCTATGCTGTGTTATGCTATGCTATGCTATGCTACACTATGCTGCGCTATGCTATGCTATGCTATGATATGATTGGCGATGTTATGCTATGCTATGCTATGCTAATGCAGCGCCGCGCTATTGCGCTATGCTATGCTATGCTAGGCTTTGCTATGATATGCTGTGCTGCGCTATGCTATGCTACGCTCTGCTATGCTATGCTGTGCTCTGCTATGCTAAGATGAAGGTAAGCTAAGCTAAGATGAAATAAGCTAAGCTAAGATGAGACAAGCAACGCTAAGCTAAGGGAGCGTCACTGGGGAACCGCGGGGCGGATGCCGGGGGAACCGCCCGGGGCGAACCCCACTGCCCGGCCCTTTAAGCTCACAGGGTAAGAACCCTTCTAGGCAGAGCCCAGGTAGGGAACAATTTTCGCGCATATCTCCCTTGTCATCCCTCCTGATCATTGTACGTCCTCTTCCTGAACCGTCCTCCTTGGGCATGCGACCTCTTCTGGTGTGGGGTCGCCCTGCAAAGTCCGAGGTAGCGGCCCTGGAATCGTGCAATCGTTTGTTTATGAATTGCTCAGCATCTCCCAGCATACTGAACCGATGTTTCTTATGTCATACGCGGCCAGCCAGCAAGACATGCGCCAGCCACTCGCACATGCTCCTTTTATTTCAAGACTCAATCAAGTCTGCGCATTGCACATGCAGCCTTGGACACAGCCAGGCAACAATACTTTGGCGACCGCCATTTTTTGCAGTGCGCATCGATGGCGGCGCGCTCCCAGCCCCACTGTACTGGCAGCTCCTCAGCAGCATTGCCCCCTACTTGTCCTGCAATGCACCTCTACCCTCTTTCCTGTGCAGCTCCTTGACGTGATGGTGGTAACTTACCTTACGCAGGTCTGAGGTTATCTCACGAAGCCCTGGGTGGCGGCCCCAGGACCGTTTTTCTTCTTCGTGCGCTTCGGGCGCTCTACCAAGGTCGCATCTCAAAGATTGCGCGTTCTTTTTTGGGGGTTAAGGGTAAACTAAACAAACAAACCTTATTGCCGCGCACAGTGCGCACTGGCACGCGCGGCTTCGGACGCAGCCAGACAGCAATACTGTGGCGACAACCACTTTATCATTGCGCATCGACGGCGGCACGCCCCTAGCCCCAGTGTACTAGCAGCTAGTCAGCACAATGGTCTTCTATCTGACCCGCAGTGCACCTCTCCTCCCTTTCCCGCGCGGCCCTGTGACGCGATGGTGGTATCTTGCCTTGTGCAGGCTTGGGGTTATCCTGCGAAGCCCTTGGTGGCGGCCCCGGGATTGCGTTTTCCCCTTCGCGCACTTCGCGCGCCCTACCTCGCCCAGCTATTCTTTGGAGGCGTCCGATTACCGAGGTGGTAGCGGAGGGGGATCTCCCTACTTAGGTTCGGGGTTGTCTTGCAAAACCCTGGGTCGCAGCCCAAAGATTGCACGCTCTTTTTTTGGAGGTTTGTAGTGGACCTTAGAGAACCCGATTGCAGCGCGCAGCGCGCGCTGGCGCATGCGGCCTCGGACACAGCCGGGCAGCAATTAATCGAATGCTCAGCCAGCCTCTGCAGGCCTGCCACGCATGCGGCCTCGGACCACAGCTAAGCAGCAGGACGGTGGCGACAACACGCCACTTTTTTACATCCCACCGAGAATCGGTGAGTATGCACTGGAGGCTGTCCGAGCCCAGCCTCAGAGTACCAGCAGCACAGCAGCAGTGCCGTCTTTAGCAGCAGACCAGACAGCGCGCTCTCTCTCTCTCTCTCTCTCACTTTTTTGGCTGCACCAGGCTATGCGCGAGCGGTCTACCCACGCATGGGCCCCAGCAAGATAGCCCGCACAGAGTGTGCAGTTCACGGCGTCTTGGCAGCGCGTGACTTCAGATAGGGCCCTTGATCCCAGAGGCCAGCCCAACCAGGCCAGCCTGCGACACTTATCGCACGACTACCTTGCTGGACTAGTTAGGCTCGTGCTCGGCCCGAGAAGCATGGTGCGCAGCGCGCGAGGGTCCCAGCGCCGATGCGGCCTGGGGTAGAGGCCGAAACCCTGGGCGGCAGCCCTGGAGCAGCCACGCTTGAACGTCTCCTCTCGAAGCTGCATGACATCGGAGGGCACCAACTATACACCTACACCGATCCAGCCCAGGCCGATCCTAGGCCCAGGATCGGTGTATATGCATTCTGCCCATGGCAGGAAGGCGTATACACCGATCCCGGGCCCAGGTTGATCTGGGCCGGGATCGGTGTTGGTGTATAGTTGGTGCCTCCCTAATGACAGCCTGCGTGACGAAGGGGGTGGTGGGTCGCTAGAGACTGCGGCGGCAGCGAAAGTGGACCTCTCTGCTTAGGTTCGGGGTCATCCTACGAAACCCCGGGCCGCAGCCCAACGCTTGCGCCCTCTTCTTCGAAGGCTAGGGGTGAAGCTTAAACACCTGATTGCAGCGCTCACAGTGCGCACTTGGGCCCCCGCAGGGGCTGACCCTTACGCCGCCTTGCCTTGCCGCCATATCGCGCGAGTACACAGCCCCAGAGTACTGGCGGCACAGCGACAGTGCCGATCCTCGCTTCGGGAAGCGGGTGGTGGGCGGCTGCGGGGAGGATTTCTACACCCAGGTTCGGGGTTATCCTACAGAACCCTGGGTCGCAGTCCAACGTTTGCCCGCTCTTCTTTTGGAGGCCGGGGGTCAACCTTAAAAACTGTAGTGTAGCACCCACTTTGCAAACTTGGGCCTCCGCATGGGCTGACCCCTACGCTGTCTTCAGATTTAGCTGTGGAGTTTTTGTTTTACCTTGGTACTATTCGCAGCATGTACCGAATGAGTCTTGGCATGCACTATTTGCTACTTGGTCTACTTGCTGGCGGGCGCCTACTATTCAACCTCCGTTTCTTCACTGTCTCTCTTTACCACCTTAGCCGCGGCGTTCGCCAGGTATTTTTTTTCGCTAAGTCATCTGCATTTTTTGCAGTATTTCAAGAACGTGACACGCGTACGCGTAAGGTTTGGCCAACTCAAAAGGAGGAGGACGGGGAGGAGGAGGAGAACGAGGACGAGGAGGACGCAAGAGCAGGAGCAGGAGCAGGAGGAGGAGGAGAAGGCTGAGGATGAGGAGGAGGAGGAATTAGAGGAGGAGGAGGAGGAGGAGGAGGAGGAGGAGGAGGAGGAGGAAAAGGAGGAGGAGGAGGAAACGGTGGAGGAGGAGGGGGAGGATGCGGAGGAAGAGGAGGAGGTGTTGGAGGAGGAGGAGGAGGAAGAGGAGGATACGGACGACGAATCTGATGATGCTGATTCAGATGATGTTGATGCCGCTGATGATGATGCTGATGATGATGATGCAGATTGTGATGATGATGCTGATGCTGTTGATGATCATGCTGATGATGATGATGATGATAATGATGATGATGATGCGGATACTATTGAGGATGAGGGTGATGATGATAACGATGAGGATGATGCGTATGATGATGATGATGATGATGATGATGATGATGATGATGATGATGATGATGATGATGATGATGATGCTGATGATGATGATGCTGATGCTGATGATGCATTTGATGATGATTCTGATGACGAGGACGATGATGGTGATGATGCTGATGGTGATGATGCTAATGCTGATGCTGATGCTGCTGCCGCTGATGGTGATGATAATGACGATAATGATGGTGGTGATGATGACGCTGCTGGTGATGATGATGCTGATGATGATGATGCTGCGGCTGCTGCTGTTGCTGCTGATGATGATGAACATGATGCCGATGATGATGCTGATGCTGATGATGATGATGATGATGATGCTGATGCTGATGATGAGGATGAGGAGGATGATGATGGGGACGATGATGATGATGCTGACGATGCTGCTGCTCCTGCTCATGATGATGATGACGATGATGATTCTGATGATGATGATGATGATGATGATGATGAAGATGCTGCTGATGATGATGATGATAATGAAGATGATGATGATGATGATGATGATGATGATGATGATGATGATGATGATGATGATGATGATGATGATGATGATGATGATGATGATGATGATGATGATGATGATGATGATGATGATGATGATGATGATGATGATGATGAACATGATGCGATGTGATGATGATGATGATGATAATGATGATGATGATGCTGATGATGATGATGATGATGATGATGATGATGATGATGATGCTGATGATGATGATGAGGAGGAGGATGAGGAGGATGATGATGGATGATTGATGATGATGATGATGATGTGCTGACGATGATGATGCTCTGCTGATATGATGATTCTGATGATGATGTGATGATGATGATGATGATGATGATGATGATGATGAGATGATGATGATGATGATGATGATGATGATGATGATGATGATGATGATGAGGATGATGATGTGATGATGATGATGATGATGATGATGCTGATGCTGATGATGATGATGATGATGATGTGATGCTGATGCTGATGCTGATGCTGCTGCTGATGATGATGATGATGATGATGATGATGATGATGATGAGGATGATGATGATGATGATGATGATGATGATGATGATGATGATGATGATGATGATGATGATGATGATGATGATGATGATGATGATGATGATGATGATGGTGATGATGATGCTGAGGAGGAGGAGGAGGAGGAGGAGGAGGAGGAGGAGGAGGACGAGGAGGACGAGGAGGAGGAGGAGAAGGAGGAGGAGGAAGAATGGGAGAAGGGGGAGGAGGGGGAGCAGGGGGAGGGGGAGGAGGAGGGTAGGGTTGTGGGGCAGGCCGATGCTCCAGGACGACGCGCTGCTGCGCGAGCTGGAGGACCTGCTGGTTCGGAGGGCCAGGGAGACGGCCAGAGAGGTGCTCGGCGCCGGCAGCCCGCGCGGAAGCTCCGCGGTGGCCCCGGCTGTCGTGGGAGGTTGTGCTCGAAGAAGGAACAAACGGAATGAGCGGGCCTCCAAGAAGTTTATGTGTTGTGCAGTTTGTTGTGATTCGAGTGGAAGCTCCGCGGTCGCCCCAGCTGTCGTGGGAGTTTGTCTTCGAAGAAGAGCGAGCTGTGGAATCATAGTCTTTCGGACCTTCGAGAAATCTGTGTCTATGGGGCTTTTCGTTCTTCCAGTGAAAGCCCCGTGGTCGCCTCTGAAAAGTTGGTGCTGATGAAGTTTGTTTTTTTTCTTCCAGGGAGAGCACCGCAGTCGCCCCAGGTCGGCCCGAGGTTTTGGGGGAGCTCGGTTGCCAGACATGCTCGCGCCGTGGCAAATTTGCGACGGCAGCTCTCTGCCCAGACGTGCTCGCGGGTGCCAAAATCGCGCTGGGCCCCGGGATGAAAAGCCGGCCCCTGTGGAATAGGTCGGGGCCTCGGGGATCCCGAATTGAAAACATCGAGACGTCACATGGGGCGTTCCAAAAAGGGCCATGCCTTCGAGGATCGAAGGAGTTGCCATCTCGTCCTCGGCGGAAGGCGGCGGAAGGGTGGCGGAATGTCGGCGGAAGTAAACGAGGACGGCTCCGCTGGTGGGAGCAGGCGGAAGGGCGGCGGAAGGTGGCGGAAGTACAACATGCGCCCCCAAGAGATGACAACATTTTTGGGTTCAGGGTCTCCGAAATCGGCCAAATGTCTGGGGTAGGGTGTCGCCCGAGGCTTGGGGGAGTTCTGTGAGGATCTGCGCGACCCAGGGTGAGTTTCGTGGCCTCGTCGAAAGCCCTCCAGGGGCGCGGAGTCGCTACGGACAGTCCACCCTGTGTTGAGGCCCGGTCGAAAAGCAGCGGTGCGAGGGATCCTACAAGCCCTCGCGCCTTCCTTTTTCGTCTCTTGAATTTCGGCGGGCCCCGTTGTCGCCGTGATCGGACGCGGCTCGAACAAGCTGGCAGTGGAGCACCCTGTCGGACGGAACTAGGACGAGGATAAATCCTCCAGAGCGTTTCGGAACGCTTTCAGAGCGTTCCGGACAGCTCTGGGAAGGCCGCGGCGCCCGAGACATCCTCCAGAGCCGCTGGATCTCAAAGATTCTCGATTTCTCCCCACCGGATTGAATCCTCGTCCTGGCCTCGCCTTGCCTGGAGGGACCTTTCTGGCCATGCCGCTCGGGAAATGATATACTTCAACATGTTTGTACGACACGATCTGGTCGGACGCAGATAGTAGTAGTAGTAGTAGTAGTAGTAGTAGTAGTAGTAGTAGTAGTAGTAGTAGTAGTAGTAGTAGTAGTGGTGTTAGTAGTAGTAGTCGTGCAGCAGTAGTAGTAGTAGTAGTAGTAGTAGTCGTAGTAGTAGTAGTAGTAGTAGTAGTAGTAGTAGTAGTAGTAGTAGTACTAGTCGTAGTAGTAGTAGTCGTAGTATTAGTAGTAGTAGTAGTAGTAGTAGTAGTAGTAGTAGTAGTAGTAGTAGTAGTAGTAGTAGTAGTAGTAGTAGTAGTAGTAGTAGTAGTAGTAGTAGTAGTAGTAGTAGTAGTAGTAGTAGTAGTAGTAGTAGTAGTAGTAGTAGTAGTAGTAGTAGTAGTAGTAGTAGTAGCAGCAGTAGTAGTAGTAGTAGTAGTAGTAGTAGTAGTAGTAGTAGTAGTAGTTAGTAGTAGTAGTAGTAGTAGTAGTAGTAGTAGTAGTAGTAGTAGCAGCAGCAGCAGGGGGAGTAGTAGTAGTAGTAGTAGTCGTAGTAGTAGTAGTAGTAGTAGTAGTAGTTCTAGTAGTAGTAGTAGTAGTAGTAGTAGTAGTAGTAGTAGTAGTAGTAGTAGTAGTAGTAGTAGTAGTAGTAGTAGTAGCCGTCGCAGTAGTAGTCGTAGTAGTAGTAGTAATCGTAGTAATGATAGTAGTGGTAGTAGTAGTAGTAGTAGTAGTAGTCGTAGTCGTAGTCGTAGTAGTAGTAGTAGTCGTAGTAGTAGTAGTAGTAGTAGTAGTAGTAGTAGTAGTAGTAGTCGTCGTAGTTTTGGTGGTAGTAGTCAGTAGTAGTAGTAGTAATAGTAGTAGTAGTAGTAGTAGTAGTAGTAGTAGTAGTAGTAGTGGTAGTAGTAGTGGAGTAGTAATAGTAGTAGTAGTAGTAGTAGTAGTAGTAGTAGTAGTAGTAGTAGTAGTAGTAGTAGTAGTAGTAGTAGTAGTAGTAGTAGTAGTAGTAGTAGTAGTAGTAGTAGCTGTAGTGGTAGTAGCAGTATGTCCTTCGTCGCCGCGTTGAGGGACCGGGCGATCGGTTGGAAATATGCCCTGGCCTGGAAGACACAAATATGTGCCCGTACATGAATGCAAGTTGGTTTCGAGAGTTCGCATGCGGCCGGTCTCGCGGCTCGAGCGGATCGTGTGGGCTCCCTAAACGAGGCGCGGCGCGCGGTTCCCCGCCCCCCCCTCCCGGAGAGGTGCACGCGCTCGTGGCCCGCAGGCTGGAGCAGCCCGCGCGCCCGAGCAGCCTTCTGGCCGCGGGGCCGCCACGGACCCTCCAATGGGGGCAGCCTCGGCCCTTGCGAGGGACGGCACCTTCCTCCTCCACGAGGAGGAGGAGGAGGAGGAGGAGGAGGAGGAGGAGGAGGAGGAGGAGGAGGAGGAGGAGGAGGAGGAGGAGGAAACGGAGGCGGAGGCGGAGGCGGAGGCGGAGGCGGAAGAGGTGGAGGTGGAGGTGGAAGTGGAGGTGGAAATGGAGACGGAGGTGGAGGTGGAGGTGGAGGCGGAGGAGGCGGAGGAGGTGGAGGAGGCGGAGGCGGAGGAGGATTTGATTACTTTTTCCATCCCGGCGTTTTTCCCCGTCCTCGGCCTCTGCGCTCTTCGGCCCCAGGCCGTCTACAGGAGGACAATTGTCGAAAATCATCAAACTTAGTTGGGCGACGATGTTTCGACTATTTTTGACTATGTTAGAACATGTTTTGACGTCCATGCTCTCTTCCGAGATCCGCCCGCAGGAGGACATGCCCAACCTGAGGCAAGGGCGAGAGACCCCCCCTCCCCGTCCCAGAGCGAAGCGGTCGGGACCCCTGGGGCCGCGGATGGAGCAGGGCCAGATCGGCGGAGGGCCAGGGTCTTTGCGAGAGGCGAAGGCAGTGGCGCTCTTCGCCATTGCCTTCGCGACTTTTCGGCGGAGTGTCGAATGGCGCTTGGCGCTGCTCGGTGGGGGTCTATAGGGTCTTTGCGAGAGGCGAAGTCCGATACGGTCGGTCCGTGTCGTGTCGACCGGCGGCGACCCCGGCGCCGGCGTTCAATTTTGAACGCTGCCGGCGGCCCAGAATCGGTCGATGTTGAGCGATCTTGACTTTTCGGGAACGGCCGATCGTACAAAGCTGAACGATCCCGCGGTGTCGGGAACCCTCGCGGGGTCGACACGACACGGACCTGCCGTAAGTACGTCCATACGTATGGAGTGCTCGGTTTCCGTCTGGGCCTACTGTCAACCCGCGTGGTAAAGATGGGCACGTTTCCCAAGGGTACCCCTGCATCCTTGTCTCCTCGGTCCATCCCTGGCAACTTTCGTTGGCCGCAACCCGCTCGAAAAGCTTCGAGACGGCCTTCAAGGCCCTCGCATCCCTATCGTGCGTCCTTTCAACACGCGTCGACTGTACTCTGTCTGGACTTCGCCTCTCCTGAGGCTCCCCCCTGCCCGCCAAGGGCCCAGCTCGATCCGCTCGGTCACAGAGGGGCGGGTGGGGCCCACCTCCGCCTCTCCTCGGCGGCGCGGCCAGGGGTAAGGCGGCAGGGGCCCGAGGCTTGAGGCTTGCGGCGTTCGGACGTTTTTGTACACGTCCGGTGGTCTTCCAGCCCCGGGATGCTTTCCAGCAGCTGCGCCTCGCCGAAAGCTTTCCTTGTGTGCCCGGATCGTCCCGAACGGCGGCCGGAGAGCCGGGTTACGACCCAGAAGCCACCAGGCCTCCGAGAGGGGGCGGGCCTTCCCACGAGGCTCAGGAGGCCTCCGAGGATGGAGACGGCTTCTCGGAAGGCCGGAGGGCTGCCGCGAGGCCTCGCTGCCTTCGAGAAAGCCTGCCCCCTGTCGCTCCCCCCCCCGAGTCACGAACGAACAACACGCACCCATGACCCATATGGGGGGACAGGGGGGGCTGTGGGTGCGTGTTGTCCGAGGGGGGCCCCCGCTCGAACGGGAGCCCCCCCCCCGACGGTCCGACGACCCGCACTCCTACCCGCCGCCAGTCCTCTCCTCTCCGATCCCCCCGTCGGAATGGGTGTGTGTGTGTGTGTTGGTTGTTCGTTCGTCACCCCTTGGCGCTCCGCCGACTCCCCGCTCACACGGGGTCCACCTTCCGAGGCGGGAACTTGTGCATGACCACCGCCTGGAGGGTCAGCTTCCGGAGCCTCGGCAGGCGGTGGATCTGGACAGCTTCCGGGCTCACAGGGCCCGATATATATATATATATATATATATATATATATATATATATATATATATGTATTCACATCCGCCGCCCGCTGGGGCACGAGGACGTCGGTTCCCAGGCGCTGGAGATGGCTAGATCCCCGCCCCGCACCGCCTCGACCCGGGCGCTCCGAGTCGACGTCGGCCTCTCGGCCGGCCCGGGCCGGCTCGCTGCCGAGGCTCCGACGCCCCGAGCGCGGGCCCGGCGCCCGCGTGGCGCGGCAGGGCATCCGTGGGGCGCCCATCGGGGGCGCGCAGCTCTTCGCGCTCCGGGGCTCGGCCGCGACGTTTCCCCCCCTCCTCCCCCGCTGCCCTGGGGGGCGGCGCGAGGGCGCGAAGTTGTCCGTCAGTCGGGCCTGTCCCCCTCCACAGGAGGAATGTTCGAACATTGTCAGAAAGTAGTCGGGGACGATTTTTCCCAACCATCCTGTGGTGTTGGGTCCTCGTTTTGAAGAGACGGTGCCCCGCGTCTCCTCTCCTCTCCTCTCCTCTCCTCTCCTTCCTTCCTCCTCCTCCGCCTCCTCCCCCCTCCCCCTCCGCGTCAGCCACACCCATTTCGGCACACCCCTCACACGTTTCGTGGCCCCATAGGGAGCTCCACCGAGGGCCCCAGCGGCTGCGTTCGCATGGCGGCACCGCACCCATTCCGCACACCCTCACACGTTTCGTGGCCCCATAGGGAGCTCCACCGAGGGCCCCAGCGGCTGCGTTCGCATGGCGGCACCGCACCCATTCCGGCACACCCCTCACACGTTTCGTGGCCCCATAGGGAGCTCCACCGAGGGCCCCAGCGGCTGCGTTCGCATGGCGGCACCGCACCCATTCCGGCACACCCCTCACACGTTTCGTGGCCCCATAGGGAGCTCCACCGAGGGCCCCAGCGGCTGCGTTCGCATGGCGGCGCCGCACCCATTTCGGCACACCCTTCACACGTTTCGTGGCCCCATAGGGAGCTCCACCGAAGGCCCCCGTGTCTGCGTCCGCATGGCGGCACCGCGCCCATTTCGGCACCCCTCACACGTTTCGTGGCCCCATGGGGAGCTCCACCGAAGGCTCCAGTGGCTGCGTTCGCATGGCGGCACCGCGCCCATTTCGGCACACCCCTCACACGCTTCGTCTCCGCATAGGGAGCTCCACCGAGGGCCCCCGTGGCTGCGTTCGCATGGCGGCACTTCACCCATTTCGGCACACCCCTCACACGTTTCGTGGCCCCATAGGGAGCTCCACCGAGGGCCCCAGCGGCTGCGTTCGCATGGCGGCACCGCACCCATTTCGGCACACCCCTCACACGTTTCGTGGCCCCATAGGGAGCTCACCGAGGGGCCAGCGGCTGCGTCCCGCATGGCGGCACGGCACTCATTTCGGCGCACAAGAACCCCTCAACCCCTCACACCCCCGTTCGTGGCCTCCATAAGGAGCTCCACGAAGGCCCCTCAGTGGGCGCTGACATGAGCTGGCGGCACGCCATTTCGGCACACCGCTCCACCATAGGAGCTCCACCGAAGGCCTAATGGCCCCTAATGGCTGCGTTCGAATGCGGACCCCAACCCATTTCGGCACCACCCCTCACACGTTTTCGTGCCCCCATAAGAGCTCCACCGAGGGCTCCAGTGGCTTGCCTTCGCATGGCGGCACCGCGCCCATTTCGGCACACCCCTCACACGTTTCGTGGCCCCATAGGGAGCTCCACCGAGGCCTCAGTGGCAGGGTCCGCATGGCGGCACCGCACCCATTTCGGCACACCCCTCACACGTTTCGTGGCCCCATAGGGAGCTCCACCGAAGGCCCCAGTGGCTGCGTTCGCATGGCGGCACCGCACCATTTCGGCACACCCTCACACGTTTCGTGGCCCCATAGGGAGCTCCACCGAGGGCCCCAGTGGCTGCGTTCGCATGGCGGCGCCGCACCCATTTCGGCACACCCCTCACACGTTTCGTGGCCCCATAGAGGGGCCCGAGGTCCCGTTCGCATGGCGGCACCGCGCCCATGGGCACACCCCTCACACGTTTCGTGGCCCCATAGGGAGCTCCACCGAGGGCCCCCGTGGCTGCGTTCGCATGGCGGCACCGCGCCCATTTCGGCACACCCCGCACACGCTTCGTGGCTCCATACGGAGCTCCACCGAGGGCTCCCAATGGCTGCGTCCGCATGGCGGCACCGCGCCCATTTCGGCACACCCCTCACCCGGCTCGTGGCCCCATAAGGGAGCTCCACCGAGGGCCCCAGTGGCTGCGTTCGCATTGCGGCACCGCACCCATTTCGGGACACCCTCACACGTTTCGTGGCCTCATAGGGAGCTCCGCCGAGGGCTCCAATGGCTGCGTTCGCATGGCGGCACCGCGCCCATTTCGGCACACCCCTCACACGTTTCGTGGCCCCATAAGGAGCTCCACCGAGGGCTCCAGTGGCTGCGTTCGCATGGCGGCACCGCGCCCATTTCGGCACACCCCTCACACGTTTCGTGGCCCCATAGGGAGCTCCACCGAGGGCCCCAGTGGCTGCGTCCGCATGGCGGCACCGCGCCCATTTCGGCACACCCCTCACACGTTTCGTGGCCCCATAAGGAACTCCACCGAAGGCCCCAGTGGCTGCGTTCGCATGGCGGCACCGCGCCCATTTCGGCACACCTTTCACACGTTTCGTGGCCCTTTAGGGAGTTCCCTCTCATTCGCTCAACCTGCTTTGCGGCACTCGCAACTGCATATGGTTGGGTCCATCGCCAGGATATTTTGACTACTCTTGAATATTTTTTGAATGTTGTTCCTTTTTCGCCCATCGGGGGCGCGCAGCTCTTCGCGCTCCGGGGCTCGGCCGCGACGTTTCCCCCTCCTCCCCCGCTGCCCTGGGGGGCGGCGCGAGGGCGCGAAGTTGTCCGTGAGTCGGGCCTGTCCCTCTGCAGGAGGAATAATCGAAAACAGTCAAAAAAGAGTCGGGGACGATTCTTTGACTGCTCTTGGAGTATTTTTGGGATGTTGTTCCTTTTTCGCCCAAAATCCGCCTGCAGGGGGACACGCCCGACCTAAAAGTTATCCGCGCGTCGCGCTTCGCACAGCGCGACGCGCGAAGCTGGGGTTCGC